TAAGCTGTGAGCCTCTCTCTCATCATATATTCTATCTTCAAGAAATTACTTGGATAGCTTTAATTATGTTTGTGCCTTTACTTTCAACCCTCTTTTATCTTTTTTTCATTTCCTTTTAGGATGGGGGAAGGGTCTCAGGTTCTCTGAAGGCTCTTTGTTTTCCTTGCTCAGGTATTACATTGATGGCACAACAATCTTGGAATACATTAGGTCCACTTCCCTGCTCTGTCTAAATGTAGGCCTTGTATTATCTTCCACTCCCCCTCCTTCTGTGTTCACCATTTTCCACCAAGTGTAAATCTTATGCAGGGCACCTAAAGAATGAGCTGCAGGAATGCACCAGAACAGAGACAAATTGTTTAAAGTGTGTGAGGAAGGAAAAAAGAAAAGAGGAGGGAGGACGATGAAGGGGGCAGTTGGGAAGAGAAGAAAAGCATCCCTTGTCAGTTGAGGTACTTTGGAGATATGTGGAGAATAGCAAAGTTGATTTTTTTAATGAGAAAAAAAATCTCCTTCCAACAAGAGCATGGTTTTGCCGACACAGTGGCCTACACAGAAAGGTGACATTTGAGAGAACAATTGCTAGGCTGTTTCTCCATGCCTACTGAAATGAAAGAGGCTTAAGAAAAGGTGTCCTTGGACTGGTGTTAATAGTCATCTTCATCATTCCTTCCTTCATGTGCTCTCTAGCAAACACTGTTTTATGAAATAGGGGCACACCGCTAAAAAACAAAGCACTATAAAAGATCAGATGGTAGTACTCTCCAGCCTCACTTCCTCTCTGCTCGAAGGACGGCAGCAGCCACCTCCTGACTGCCATGGCTCTCTTTGCATTACCACCCCATCTGCTCTGAGTTGTCCTTTTAGGCCTTTCTTTATCTCAGTTTTGTTAATCCTGGTTATTTTTCAAGGCTAGAAAACAAGTATATCGTAATGGCAAAACAATTTGCTAGGGAGCATGTCACTATTCTATTTGGAAGAGACTTTAGCTTTCTCCTTTGTTTTGTTTTGAAAGCCATCTTTTGAGCATCTGTTTTTCAAAGCTGGAAATCTGAACCTTGGATAGTGGGAAATACACAATGATCTCCTGGTAAAACTATCTGCAGCGAAGGCCTACTTGGCTTCTGGAACACTTGCTGGAGACCTTACCAGCTACATTAGGACAAGGTTGACAAAAGAAGAAACCAACTACAATGGCATTTTTCTATACTAAAGACTGGAAAGGATCCTCACCCGTGGAAAAGTCACACCAACACACTATGTTGCGATATACAGAGAAGGCCACCAGAATCTTCTTGAAGATACAATTCATAAAAGAAAGCAAGCCACAATCTACTTGGCCTGGACAGCTGAAATGTACCTCTTGCCTTTTCTTCAGGACTGAAAAAGAATTTACATGGAATAACCAGAGTAGAGGTAAGAAAGAATAATAAATCCCTTCACAGAGTGCAAAATAAGTCTTTGTATCTGGAGAATTTTGCTGAGCAGAAGATTCTGAGCCCAGTTTTTGAAACAGGCCTTGACCTAAGAAAATCATAATTAGAAACATACTGAATAATATTTCCACATGCTTAATTGTACATATATCAAGGTTTCTAGTACTCCTGACAATTATTAATTCTTTTAATTAATTTCCTTAAACATTGACTAAAATTCACAGTACTATTCGTGCATATTGTAGGGTTGTGTTGGCAGGTGTTTATTATTTACACTGACTAGCTATAATGTTCGGGGGGGGGGGGGGAGCAGTTGCTGTGTTACTCTTTTGCAGCCCAAATAACAAAGTGTATTGTAGAAAACTAAAGATCTTGTATTTGGCATAAGCTTTTCTGTTAAATGTGTGCTGAGAATGTGAGCTCATGAAGTGGGCATGTGAAATGGCCAAAGATATTTTGGATGATGTTAAGATGCTATTCTTTTTCTGTGATGTCCATGTCAATTGAAATTTATACCCCTCTCACATCTCATGGTGGAATAGGGATTTGACCATTTATTTCCAAAAATGTGGCAACAAATGGCTCATAGACTCAAAGCTTGTTATCTTCTACCCTAATTTCAACCTAATTCCATATTCTGGTCATTTCTTTATAAAATGGTAGAGCATCCATTGCTCGATTTCTATGAAGTACTTGAGTCCTTGTGTAAAGTTATCAGTGTGAGGAAATCTATTCCAGGACACAGTGACTGAAGTTCCAAAGGGCTTATTTAGGAGATCGCTCAGGATTGTACCTCACATAATGACACCAGAGGAAGGGGTGGAGCTCATTCAAGGTCACAAATATTGGTATTGACTAATCAATATTTTGAAGCAGTTTATTTTGCCAGTAGGGAGGCAGCCAGTTTTTAATGTAAATATCTTATCATGCTTGTGAGACTGCAATATCATCCAAGTGCTATATTAAGCACTGTCAATATCCTGGTAGAATTTCTTGCAGGGTTTAGAAAACTTACATTTTTTGGGTTGCAAGCTACAAGTCAGCCTATTGGACAAAGAGGGAACTTTTTGTAAGCTTGCAATGCATAACCATGTGCACAAAATGATCATTTAGTAGAAATGAGGACTGTAGGCTTTTTGCCTTCATCCACATTGGCCAGCTAGTATAGTAATGCTTTCTTACATATATTTGTGTTAATTGAGAAGGGAAGAATACCAGCCTGTTAAAGGGCAGTCAGGAGTATTTATCCACAGTGCCTCTGAATTATACCTGGATTTGGAGTAATATACTTTCCCCCATTTAATTAATATTTTGTAATTTAAAGTGTATTCTCACTCTTGTGCTTTCCAGATTGCTGTCAATTGCTCAATTCAGTTTGTTATTCAGATTGCTTTCTTACTGTAGCTTACCAGTTTCCAGAAATTCAATTAGAGAAACTATGAATGGGAAGCAATACATCCTTCATTTAATTAATCACCAATTATTGATTGCAACTTATGTTTAAGAAGCCAATGTCCGAAGAATCAAGAATGGGTTAAAAACTACTGCATCAACAAAAGTTTCCTTCACAGCACAGACTAGTGTGTGTTCGGCTTATAAGGCAGTTGAGTTTGCTTCGGGGGTGTGAGGATTTCAGTGTTGCTGGAACTATGTGAAAGAGGATTGGACGGTAGCCATGGACTGTTGGCAAATAATCCTAATAATGTTTTCTGTGGTGAGTGTATGTGCTTGTGTTTTAACGTGATAATAGCAGGACTGTGTGTTTGGGCTCCAGTATAAGACAGTTCAGGGAGGTGAGCATATCGAGTGGCTAGTAGGGTTTAATTGGGAGATGCCCCAGGCTACAATAAAAGGAACTGAAGCCAAAGTGTTTAAAGCCTTGGCCGTTATAGAAAAGCCGTTTCAGTGTTGATAGGAACTGGAATGGGAGTTATGTCTGGGAGTAAATGAACAATGTACTGTGCTGCTTTCTGGGAACAGTGAGAGCAAGTGAGCAGCTATAAAGAACTTCTCATAACTTTGGAGCTATGAACCTCTCTGTGTTAGACAGCCAGTTAAAGACTCCAGAAGCTAGAGGTTATCAGACTAGGAACAGGAAGAAATGTAAGCAGAAGGACCAAATCCCTGCTGCTATCAATCCAGGAAACACACTGAATGACCTTGAACCTATCCCCAACAGGCTGTCAACCAATCATGCAATATCTACCTTACCCTAGATCCCTCAAAATATTTGGTCCTATATAAACCAAGAACATTGCTCATGCTAGAAGGTGAATATCTCAAGTATCTAGGAACTTCTTCATATTAAACATCGAGGAAGTCTGCATAATACAGCCCACCCCCTGTATTCACATATTCTGTACCCATGGGTTCACAGCTTAAACATTTCTTTTTTTAAAGGCAAGCTTTGATTTTATCATTTTATGGAAGGCACACCATTTCACTATGCCATTTTATGTAATGAGTCTTGAGCATCCATGAATTTTGGTATCCATGGGGGTCCCAGAACTAAATCTCAGCAAATACTAAGGGCCACTGTAATACATCTCCCTTTGCCCTCCTCCACATTGACTGTGAAATGGACTTTGGAAGCTTTCCCTTTCCCTTTGAGCTAACTACATGTTGAGATTTGACTGGGGCCAGAGTTGTGATCAATGGAAACAACAGTTGCTAGACACTGGAAGTGATTATTTTAATGAAGCCATCATCTTGAGCACCTTCCTTTAGCTAAGAAAGTAGAATCCCTCCTAAATGTGTGAAGGTAAATGGATATTGTTTCGAGTGTTGCACTTGTCTTTGAAAGTCGACCAGCTTCTGAAAAACTATGGTTTAAAAAAGAGAAAGTATACATTTATAGAAAATGATATGTGTTAACAAGGACATCACTGTGTCACTGAAAATGCTGCTATCACAGCCTAACCTACCTCCTTATTGTTAAACCTAAAATGTAAGGAACAGCTGAAAGATGTACCGTGAACACCATCTTGATCTTTGAGAAAAGTCTTATCCTAAGGATGCCTTTATGAAACTGGGAGAATAACTTTTTACAATTTTTCAAGCAAAACCTGCCATCCATTTGAGCTTACATCTACAATTAGAAACACAAATGTTATTTCTTATAATCATAAAATCAAACCTCCTGCTATGCAAAAATAAGATCACAATTTCCAGGAAACACCATGGGTGACTGCAGAAAGTTCACCCCCACCCAAACTAAAATGGCATTGACTTTACCTTAATCAGCAAACTTTATTAGAGTCCGACAGCTCTAAGGTTACAGACACTGTCATGAGATTTGATGGTGTTATCTGTGAGGTCTCTCAGCCACTTTCGTTCCCTATATCCTTCTTGGTTCCATTTCCTTTGAAGTTCTTTGAACAGCTAGAGATGTATTTATTTGGCTGTATCGATCAGTAGTTTCAGGTAGAATAATGAGCTTCAAATGACATCCTATCCTCCAGCCCATGTAAATCAGTTGAATCCCCCAACCATGTCTGAATGTCAACTTAATTAAATAAACAAGAAGGCAAGAAGGGGTGAAAAATAAGTGATCAGAGGCCTACCCTGGAAACAGCTTGGCTTGAATATGATCAGGGAGGAAATGGGGGAATCTTGACAATATTTTTTCATGTCTTGTAGGTGGCTTCAAGCAAACTGATTGAGATAAAGAACCATTGCTTACTAACATTTTGATATCTGCTTTACTTTTTTGTCACAAAAGTGAAGGGTTATCTTGTGTAAGGAAAAGCAGCATCGCTTGTGAAGTGAAAGTAGTACAATCAAAAATGTTTACTGAACAGTTTATGAATGAATCTGTTTAGATAAGGTCACATTTTAAGCCAGAATTTCACAGGACAAGTCCAGTGTTACATTAGCGTTTTAAAGCAGAGGTGCCTGCTTTTCTATCACTCGCTTTGCTCCTGCAGGTTTCTGGGAAATGCAGTTTAGGGTGGGGCTTTTTGAAATTCTCAGCCAGAGAAGTCCTCAGCTTCCCTAAACTACATTTCCCAGAATTCTTCAGGAATAAATTGGGCAATAGCAAAATGGGCAAAATGAGCAAGATGTCACTAGCATTGGGCTCAGTAGAGTTTTCTTTATAATGAAAGTGGGAGCCACATGTTAATTCCTCTCATCATCCTACTGTCTCATACCGCTGGGACATACAATAATGGAAAATTCATAGATTATGACATGGATCAGTATGCCTAAATATTAAGACGAGTGGAGGCTGGATACAAAATGGCATTTTTGTGCCATACTCATGGTGTAATGTCTCATTCTACCCTAGGAACCTGTTGAGTTGGCCTGGCAGCATGCGGATACTGGAGAAGAAGTTAGAAGATGTAAGGCAGAAGTTGTAGGCAGGCTTTGTTTCAAAGCTTTGTGCTCTACTGATTGTGGTCACATCCGTAGTATCAGTGAGCACATGTGTGGAAGGTTAGCTATCCATGAGGAACTTTTAGCACATTCAGTTGCATTGGTGTAGATGGAAAGTTGAGGCACAATTTTGAATGAGGTGCACTATTAATTAAGAGGATCACAAAAAGTAACTCAATCTTCATGTTTTCTTCCAAAAATCTTGCCGGTGGCAACTTCTCCAAATGACACAATGAAGTGATGGATTGTTTCATGGCTTCCTTGCTGCATCTTACATTTTTGTCTTCATCCTGTTAACGAAGCAGAGATTGTATTAGAAGCTCAACGGCTCCCTAAGCTCAGGACAATTGTTCTTAATGTGCTCCTAAGTGCAATGGGAACATTTTCTGAGGTGAACTTCCCTTCATCCAGCCATAGTGAGAGCAGCTTAGGTAACTGAAAGGGAGTTTGCATGGGGCTGAAGTGAGATGGGAGGGAGCAGATAGGTGACAGCTTGAGGCAACCCGAGTTCCTTTCTCTGTTCGAGGTAGATTAGATTTTACTCAGCAGGGTGAATTCTTAATTAGAGCAGCCCCATCCTGCAGCTGCAGCCCTGTCCTTCGGACCCCTGCTCTGCCTTCTAAAATTTCATGAGGGAAGTTGTCATGCCTTATTTCCTGAGCTCTAATATTGGAGCAGTGAGCTGTGATTTCAATGGGAGGAAAAGACATGTAATTTAATCATCTTTATTAGAGTCTGGGTAAAGAGGAGGGCACATTGAGCAGGTCCTCTACTTGTGTGTTGACTTTTCTAGTAGCCCTAAAGGACACTTGATAGCTTCTTTGATAAGGAAACAAGTCCGGAAAGTGCAATGATAGTGTTGGTATATTTTTTTTTGAAAAAGAAATAGATATTGAATATCATTTTAAGTGTGTCTTGTCTATTCCCTTTCTTGTCATGAGCCAAACGGGTGCCTGTAATGGATACATACATCATGTATTTATTAATGCCCAACTGTGATTTGAATCTTTGGCCCTTGGACTATGGGGTGTGCAAATCACAGCAGCCCAGCTTTGTGAGCAGACTGTTCCAGAATAGTGATGTACAGATAAAAAATGAGCATGAACTCTCCATAGCCTGGCTTAAAATTTCTCTGAGGACATGTTCACAGCCTGGATGGGTGGTAGGTGATGGAGGCAGCATTTGTTTATACAAGCATTTTCCAGTGTGCTCACCTGCTGGTTCCAGAGGAAATGGGTCATCATCTCCGAGACTGACTTAAAAGAGGCAAAATGGTTGGGATAATCTATTGGCTTCCCTTAAAGTTTTATGGATTGTTAGAACGTTCATTTGCTTCAGGTTTAGAACCATTTTAAAGACAGAAAAGGCCTGGGCACCAACAGTGTGTGTTTGTAAGTGACCATGAAAGCAGCATTTAAAATTCCCATCAAGTTAATCATGAATGAAAAAAAAGTGCTCTGATCTGCATATGTATTTCATTTTAAAATAGGTCTCCTTATTGTTTACTGTTTTAGATGAACAACACTCAAAGACCTCAATTAGTTTGTTCTTTTCCAAAGGAATCAAAGGAAAGTCATCCCATCCTACACTCTGCATTTCTGTTTCGATTTAAGCAACTTATTGAAAGATGTGGGGGGAAAATACAAACTGAAAAAATTATGACTTGTGAAAAAGTTCTGACACTTTAAGTGCTGAAAATATCATCGGAATGATCCAATCTAAATTAAAAAAGGTGGAACCAATCTTTAAAATACCCTTGTTTCCTTGAAAGATTTGTTGATTCAGTTATTATTTTACCCCAATGTTAGTTTGATGTACTGACATGGGAGTGAACTGGAACAATCCCTGGCAAACATTCACCTCCCTGCTAAGGGGTTGCAAACTGCACTGGGTGACACCATCAGAAAGAGGGATTGCAAAATGAGAGTCTATCGATGTTTTTGTGCAGTGTTGATGCAGAAATGTACTTTAAAATTTAATTTTATTTGTAAGCTCAGCATACTGTATCAATATACCTACAACACTAAACGTTCTGTCTATTTACTTTTTGAACCTTCAAAAGTACATGCACTTTTCAAAGTTGTCTTTATTATTCAAGTACAATGGCATTTTGAATCACATGCTTTTTTCTACACTTGCTATAAGCTTTATTGTTTTCATTGCTGCTGGATTTTTAAATTAGCTTTGTCAAATATCCTGATATTTTAGCTACAATATTGTGGTTTGCTGTGATATGGGAGGAGATTCATGGAAGTTGCACCATGTATTACTACACTGGGTAGCACCAACCATACTTAACACCACTGCTGGCAAAAAAAAAATCCACCTAAAAAAACAAAATACAATAGAACAATTACTTTACCCTTTGCCATGTAAAAGCTGTGAAGGACCCCCTAAAATTAATCAGAGCTCAGTGATAGTGAAACAAGCTTTTACAGCATGGGTCCCTAAAGTAAGGCCCGTAGGTTGGATGCGGCCTTCCAAGGTCATTTATCTGACCCCCACCCTAATCTTTAAATTTATGGTTGCTCTAAGTCTGAAATGACTTGAAAGTACACAATAGCGACAATTCTAATTAACATGAGTATCTCATCAGCCCAAAGCAGGCCTACAGTCCCCATTGAAATACTGGCAAGTTTATATTGGTTAAAATTGTTATTCACTTTAAATATTGTGTTGTTTTTTCATGTTTTTTTTGTACTGCAAATGAGATATGTGCAGTATGCATAGGAATTTGGGTTTTTTTTAAAACTGTAGTCTGGCTCTTCAACTGTCTGAGGGATCATGAACCGGGCCCTTCCACACAACCATATAACCTGGAATATGAAGGCAGAAAATCCCACAATATCTGCTTTGAACTGGATTATCTGAGTCCCCACTTCCATATATGTGGGATTTTATTCAGCTGTGGGATTTTATTCAGCTGTGTGGAAGGGGCCTGAGAAGCAAGGTTCAATGTGGTCACTCATAAGAGCATCTTATTGCTCTTGTGGGGAAAAAGTATTTCCTGCTGGGAGATACAGCAATAAGGGCAGATCTACATGTTAATCCACTCCTTAAAGTGCTCCTGTGGTGTGTTTTTCCTTTTTCATGAATATCTGTTTGTTCTAAATGGAGCATTATTTGTATGTAGTACAATTTCTCAGTTGCTATGACTAAGTGATTATCCCTTTGCAGTCTGTCTAGTTAGTATATCACACTAGAGAAAAAAATCCACTTAAAATCTGGTTTCTGCCTCCTGCAGAATTCTAGAGTTTGTGGTTTAGGAAGGAGACTTTAACACCCTCATGAAACAACAAACCCCAGAATTCTGCAGGAGGCAGATACTGGATTTTTTCTCTAGTGTGATGAAGTGAAGTTTCTGAGACACCTGCATAGATGTTCTAATGGAAAATGAATTAGGTAAAGGTAAAAGTTTTCCCTGACATTAAGTATAGTCGTGTCCACTGCACCGCCCCCTCCAAAATGCTTGGGGCCACAAGTTTTTCAGATTTTAAATGTTTTATTTTTTTAATATCTGGACTTGCATAAACATATTACTGTGTCAAATGGCTGATGGAAATGTTGCGGGTCATCATGGGGGAGGGGATGGGGAAACTTGGCGTCCCATGTCCCACTTTGCTCAGCTTCAGTTGAAGGCAATCCCATGGGGGGGGGAGAGTCAATTACACGGCTTCCCCCCATGGATTTCAATGACAACATGGGAAGCCTCCCATGTTGCCACAGCAGCGGCATGCACCAACTCTTCTCTGCTTTACCCATGGAGCCCCACCACATCATTTGATGGGAGCTGGTGGGCTCCGTTGATGAAGTAGGGAGGAGCCAGCATATGCCCCAGAAATCAGCCCTTTGTGAAGAGGTCCACAGTGAATGAAAAATGGAAGGAAAATTGAATGTCCAGTGCCTGCTACATTTTCTTGGGGTTTGGAAACAAATGGCAGCCAATGGGAACATCCTCTCTTCCCCAAGTGACATCATTGGTAAATGCCCATCCGTCACAGTGCCCTTTATGAGCAGAGCCAAGGAAGGCAAAATCCTGCCTCTTGCCCCTCTTGCAAAAAACCCCACCATGACATCTACCTTGGTGGCATTCAAATCCCAGTTTGTTTAATCCCATCCACTGTATGAAAAACATTTTTGTGGGACAGGGGAGATGGACACTGTTCAAAAGCTGGATTTTCCCCCTCTCTTCCTGAATTATTTTTGTTTGATTTTCAAACTCAGGGCCAAGGCTAAATTCCATTGACAATGTATTAAGTAGAGAAATCATATGGAGCTGTACATAGCCTGGTAATGATTGGCTGTGCTTCAGCAACCAGCTGCAAAAAGATGGCATCCTGCTCTTAGACTTTCAGGGATAATCAAGAAACCCAAATGCATATCTTTCATTTAATGCTGCATGCGTCTGAACAGTCCTGTCTGCATAAACCATAAAACACAAACACAGAAATAATTATTCTTATGTAAGTTTCCAGGCACATTGGGTGATAATGTCACCTTCACTAATAGAGCTGTTGTCAGATACAAGCTTTGCACTCCTTATCAGAAATTCTGAAATCTGAAATACTCCCAAATCCAAAATTATCCACCTGGATGGCTGAGATAGTGGCACCTTTGCTTTCTAATGGTTCAGTGTATACATGCCATTTTTCATTAACAATATTATTAAATATATTGTGTAAAATTACATTCAGGCTATGAACATAAGGTGTATAGGAAGCATAAAAGAATTTTGTGTTTAGGGTCCCATGTCCCAGATGTCTCATTATATACATAGAATATGTAAGTATTGGTATTCCACTATATATAAAAAAATCCAAAACACTTCTGGGTTCAAGCATTTCTGATAAGGGACACCCAACCTGTATGTGGAAATGCATGCTAAGGTGCACTTATATTTGCTGGGTCCCTCCCCCCAAAAGGGCCAAAATGCAGGAGAGGACCTAGAAAGATAAAGTGCATATACAGATATGTAAAGTGCACATATATCATTGCTGTACATATTGTCATATGTACAGCAAATTATAGCAGCAATGTGATTCCAACAAGCGACCTAAGGATTTGGAAGCATCCTGGTGAATAGGCCAGGAGGTAACCATAAAGAGGAGAGAAATTAGAAACAGAAAGTATTCTCCCTCTCTCATCAAGACTTCAGGTAAACTGGATGTTGCTTATTAAAAGCAGCAAGCCTCTGCTCTCTCTGCACGTACCCTCAGTTTCAAGCGACACCAGAAAGGAAACATTATCTAATGGGATCTAGCCATTTTGAGAACATTAGCTCTCCCCTGCT